AGGTATATCATTCTTTCTTTCATGAAGCAGGTCTTAATTGACTCTGTTTGAGACCGCGGGCGAATGAATCCACTTGCTTGGCTCATAGATCCAATCAATCTGTTTTCCAGACGGCTGTTTGCCACTCGAATTATTGCTGCATCGCCGACTTGGTGCTACAGTCAAATCGGTTATCCCTAATAGAATATACATAGACCCTCATGGCCCCACGCGAGAATTTATAGACTTAACCATCCCCTGAATTACAACAGTATGAATACTAGAACTATTGAAAACACCCCAAAGAAAATGTTCTTTGATCAGATCTGGCTGGTGATATATGCGTAGTACCCAACTCCAATATGCTCTCTCATGAATCAAGTTTAGCAGCTCAGTGAAGCGCAATTTGGTGAGTCTTGTATAAGCACGGAACCAACAGATGAATCTAAAAGCTTATTGCCTTGCATATAGCTTGCCTGAATAAGGTCGTAGCTTCCCGTATCCATAGTCCCTCATTAGGAGTCAATGCTAGGCTAGGTTCAATAGTAAGAAGGTGTTCTCATTCTCATTGCAGGAAGCGGGTGGACTGCATATATACGTGTATACAGACAAACCAACATCTGGATCACAACATCACGGCCACTGTGAAATTGAACATTGCGAAACGAGTACATGTATCTAACATATCTGTACTGATCCTTATTCTGATCATAGCCTGTTTGGCGATTTGACGGATCTATTGTTCGAGATATTCGGCTTGGAGGTGGGAGTCCGATCTTCGGCGTTTCGAAATGGGGCACCGAATCCTATGCCGATATTGATACCCGCAATTGTAGAGCCCCGAGTATTGTTACGGCCGATGAGTATAATAGTAACTAGCATTACAAGGTTTTTGCTGCGACGCTACCTATCGATTCCTCTGAGGGTGACGCCTTTTCTGATACAAGTTATGCGCTTTAGAAGCGACGACACAAGGGCCCCCAATCTATCGACCCAATTTACAGCCAAGGCTCTCAGTATCTTTCCTTCCACCTGAAGTATCTGGACGAGCACCATTGGTGAAAAGAATGGCCCGACGATGGGAGGAGCACCTCCCCAGTGGAGCGGAAGCATACTGGTGCCAGCCGTCCGACGCCAATGCCAGAGGTGCCAAGGACTTCCTTCTCTCTGGCTGTGATCAGGTTATGCCCAAGGTGCACGCGCGAATGTCGATGCATTATCCGCTCCCCGAGTCCACCGGGCAATCCCGCAGAGACATTGTCCAGCTCCTCAAAACCGGACTTGAGAAACTCGCCTCTCAGGTCCCATGCCTAACTGCAACAGTAGCCTTCGACGCCGCATCAAAGCGTGGCACCATGAAAACGATCGGCGATGACGATGGAGTTCTTCTTGTCGTCACGGGCGCGGACGCTGTTCGCACCGATCTTCCATCATATGCAGAACTTGAACGCGAACGCTTTGCGCCCTGGAAGCTTCCCAAAGGCAAAGCGTTTCCCGAAGCGTTGATCAATCCGATCGCAGCAGGGAAGAGTCATGATGGCGGCTTACCGGCCTGTATATTTCAGCTCAGCTTCATTGAGGGTGGCGTGATCCTCACGGCTGCGTTTCACCACTATCTCGTCGATGGGCCGAGTGTTGACCTACTCTTCCGAGCCTGGGCCGCACACTGCCAGGGGAAAGACGAGATCCCGCTCTACACTGACCGCTCCATCCTGTCGAGTTCCACGAGGCCCGATGCGTCTGAGGTTCAGCGGCTCGAACAAGCCATGACTGCGCGTGGCTGCATGGTCAATTCCACCAAGCCAGATCCAGCCAATCCCTGGTCCAATCTCATGGCCGAACCTATCAAGTCCGCTGTGATCAGCTTTTCTCGCGAAGCAACGGCGGCCCTGAAAGCCGAGATCGCAGCCCAGAAGCCATCCACACCCGTCTCCACAGCTGACTGTGTGCACGCGATCTGCTGGACTGGACTGACGCGCGCGAAGGCCGCTCTTGCCGAGGGAGAGCATGAAATGGACTCCTGGACCGTCTTCCCCGTCACATTCCGTACCCGTTCCTTCCCCGAGTTTCCAAGGAACTTCATCGGAAATACCACCTTCATGAGCGGAGCTGTCCTGCCGGTTGGAAGACTTCAGGCATCGGAAGGACCAATCGAGGCTGCGGTAGCGCTGCGGAACATCATCGATAGCGTGGACGCGACATTCCTCGAGGATGGTCTTGCTTGGGTTGACAGTATAGATGATTTCTCCACCCGATCATGGCTGTCCAGCCCACCGCGCAAGGTTGATTCAGGTTTCACGAGCTGGGCTTGCCTGAAGTACCAGAATTGGGATTTCGGATTTGGCAGTCCAGCTGCGTTACGTCCTCCAGCGTCCCCGATACCATATGTGTTTCCGTTGGCTGGGAAGACCGATGCGCATGGCAGGGAAGTGATTGAGGTCGTTATTGCTGCCACGGAGGAGACGCATAGGTTACTGATGCAAGATGTGGAGCTTCAGCGATATACAACGGATTACCACCTTGAGCCTTAAGTTGGGCAACTACTAAGTTATACTAGTATGTTAATAGGGCATAGTAGCGGGTAGGATTGTTCGGGTCACAATATTAGCTTACTGTTATCGAACTTAAGCTCTATCCATTACCTAGACCTGCTTCCTCAGTATGTGCATGATATGTGGTACATATTGTGCCACATGGTTGTTACGCCAAGCGTTCATTAAGAATACGTCCACCAGAGAAAGTAAAGCTTACTGACGGGCAAAAGACTGCAATATGCAAGCCCGGTAATCTGAAAGGCTAGAGTGAATCTGGAGTTTTAAGTGACTTGCTTATCCATCTGTGAATTAGGAGGCTCGATTCAACTATTAGCTAAGTTGTTTCAACTAAGGAGCGATTTTCCACCGAAAGCTCTGCTTTGAAAGATTCCCTGTTTTCACATTAAAGTCCCCCTTCATACGGTATCTTCTTCTGTACATCACGCAAAACCTTCTAACACTCCACATGTCTATTTGGTGATATATGCGACATCCAAAGTACTTAGAATCTACACTTCGACCACGTAAACCTTCAAGCAAGACGCAGTTTTTCCAAATCCTTCCTCTCTTGCAAGACTGACATCTCACTCAAAATCTCCTCACTGCCACCGCCAATAATGAGCACGCGAAGGTCTCGACTGATTCTCTCTACTCGCGCTCCCGGACCGGCTCGTGTATATCCAAGTGCCCCGAGGATCTGCTGACTTTCCCGCACAGCCAACTCTGTTGCCCTAGCAGCACTAACTTTGGCCAGGGCGCACAGGCCGCCGATATTCGAGCCCAGCTCGTCAATGTTCGTTGCTCTCTTAAACGCGCTCTCTCTGACCTGTACCAGTGACTCGACCAGGGCGTATGCGCTCATGATTTGCATGCCAACATTGGCAAACTTGAGCCGGATGGCTTGACGATCGATGAGCGGCTTTCCGAAAGTGTGGCGTGTGAGTGCGTGTTGATAAGAATCTTCCAGACAGATGCGAGCAAGGCGCAGGCAGTTGCCCGCTATCCAGAGACGTTCATGGTTGAGGCCTGAACAGGTTAGCCCTACTCGGATCAGACGCACTTGATGTGCCAGAGGCCAGTGGCACACTTACTGGACATGATCAACTTGAACCCTTCATTCCAGTTGCCGATGAGATTCTCGGCGGGAACCTCTACGTTATCAAATTTGAGTGCAGCGCATCCTGGGCATATCCATTAGCAGCGTGTTACATTGACTCTAGGACGCAAGGCATACCGCTTGAAGCCACACCCGAGGTGTGTATCTCAGTCCGCGAAACCCCTTTTGAATTCAATGGAATGACCAGTAATGAGATTCCGGCTTTTCCAGCGCCACCAGTCCGGACGACTGCTGTACAATAGTCTGCAAACAGGCCGTTCGTAACCCACTGTTTTATCCCATTGACGATGAACACATTGTCTTGTTTTTGCGCTGTGGTAGAGATGCTAGCAACGTCCGATCCGGCTATGGCACATATCTCATGTTATTCGATGAGTTTATGGGGAGAGATTGAAAAAAGAGATTGGGAGTTTTTGACAACTCACCGTGCGGCTCCGTAATGCCCAGACAAAACCTGATCTCTCCCCGAATGACAGGAGGCAGCCACCTAGACTTCTGCTCCTCGGTCCCGAAATTGATCACCGGAGGACAGCCAATCGCATTTCCACACCCAAGAGCCCATAAGACCCCAAGCGAGCCGCAACGGGCCATTTCGTCGATGGCTATCAGGTCATGGAAGCTATCCCACTCAGTCGCCGAAACCCTGCCTGGGAGTTTGATGTTGTCTCCAACATATTTCTCAATTGCGGCCGGATTCAACAGAATGGCCGTATAGCCTAGGTCTGAGTGGCGTTTGAGAACCTGGGATAATATCAGCAAGGTAACATATCGGCACATGCACCAAGCCGGAGCCTCACTGTTTTCGGAACTGCACGGCTGGCCTCCCACTCGGAACAAAACGGCTCGATTTCAGTGTCAACATATTGGCGGATTTCATCCCGCAACCGCCTATGCGAATCAGTATAATGCGGATTTCCCGGACGGGAGTACCACAATGGTTCCGCGAAAGGGGTGCTGGATCCGAAGAATTCTGCCATTGAGGAACATAGGATGCGAAAGCTGACGAGTGACAATCTAGCTCAGCAAGATGTGGTAGCCTTGCAGAAGGAAACTCCTCATATTCGCTTTGTCTAAGCTATGTAGCTATGTTATAAGATACAACCCAATTCGCTGTCAATAGCTCAAAGCAGAATGATTCAGCAAAGCGAGGGCTATCGCCGAGGCAGCAAGTGCCAAACGCCGGCGCAGCTAGTGCGAATCGCCGACGCCGCCACTGCGGATCACCGATGCAGCTACCCAAACTTCAGCAAAATCATATTTTGAAACAACTGCTCTGCATACTGGAATATCAACACTGATCTTTCGTATAAATGTGACGGTCGTTGAGTGCACGTTGCATTAGTATCCCTGATGCATCTGCAAGCCTCGCAATGATGCAATATTTCAAACTGTAAGTCTACACGCAATTCTTCTGCTCGAAGAGAACCTCATTGCAACGATACCATCTAGGCCTTTTTGGAACTTTTTCAGCACTGGCAATGACGAGCTCACCACGAAGCTTTGGGCAAGCACTGGCAACGATGAGCAGGTCACGAAGGTCTGGGCAATAGTGCAGAGCCATGAGGGATACCAGGTGTCCCGTAACGGCGGCACAGTGCGACTGTGCCTGGATCGACCTCGTCATGGCAACTCTTTAACATTCACCATGATCAAGGAAATAACCTCGTTGTTCAAGCGTCTCTCAAAGGACGATTCTGTGCACCGAATCATTATTACGGGTCGTGGCCGCTACTTTTGCACGGGCATGCACCTGAAGGAAGACCTCTTTGTCTCAGTTGCGGAGCGGTGCAATGCGCTCCAAGAACTCTTTTCTACTATCGATACTTGTCCCAAAACCACGATGGCAGTGATAAACGGCCCGGCCTTTGGTGGAGGCGTTGGCCTGGCTACCGTCTGCGATGTACGCATAGCCGTGTCCACTGCATTCTTTTGCTTGAGCGAAGTCAAGCTTGGCTTGTGTCCCGCAACGATATCGAAATTCCTGGTACGGGAGTGGGGAAGCAGTCTCGCGAGAATGGCGATGCTTACTGGCCGGAGAGTGAAATCGCAGATGCTGTACGATGCAGGAATCATACATGCTCTTGCGGTTGATCTTGACGATCTGGAGAAGGTGGTGGAGGGGTTCTTGAATGACCTGAAGCTTGCGGCTCCTCAAGCTGCTGCACTATGTAAATTGTTGGTTGGGGAGGCCGTGAGTAGCCATGATGCCGCCATAGACCAAATGGCCTGCGAGGTTTTTGAAACCATGTTAGCGCAGGGATCGGAGGCATCACACGGTATTGCTCAATTCAACATGGGGGTCAAGGATATAGTCTGGGAGAACTTGGATAGAGATGATAAATTAACGGCGTTATGAGGCAATCCATTGTCTACTATAGCTATCAGTATAGATCTTGTTCATTTTCACCACTGGAAAATAGAGCGAAAAGGCCGAAAGGGCAAAGAAATGGAAACGATACCCAGAGAAGCCACTCACCTGGACGGGGAGCGGGTATTGTGGAGGCTAGCATGTACCATCTATTGCATTTAATGAGACAAGTTGATAAACGCCCGCACTGACTGGTTGGGTCGGTCTATGCGACTACGCAAGAATGTTAGTGAGGGTCTGCAGGGCACTGCATCTCGTCTTTCTGTGTATCTAGCGCATCTCGTCTAATGGTAATCTGTACCAGCCTACCAGGTTGTCATGTGAAATCAACTTTTTCAGCGATATGTAGGGCCTCTCTGTCCTTCACATCCATATACTCATATACCTTGAGATGAGACTACACATAATGAACCTCCGCTGTCTGCAAGCCCAAGAGAAAATGTTTCTAAAGCCCTTTGCCATCACCTCCGGAGCATGCCCTTGAAAAGGGCCTCGAAGCCAGAAGAGTCTGGTCTCAAGTCAGCAAGGTCTCGCAGCCAGCTTCGGCGGGCTCGAATAAATTCACAGTGTTAGTTAAGCACAGGAATAAATCACCTTCACCTTTCTGAGTATGGTGGTATCCAATGTTTTAGCGTGTGTTAGTCAACGGTGGGCATCGGATTCGGTACAGGTCTGAAACACCGAACGCTAAACACCGAAATTCCAAGCCGAAGAGTGAATGGCATTCCAGTTTGTGAGTGGACCAGATAGTATCTATGAATATTTTATGAAAGCCCACCACCCGTGTAAGATATAACCAAAGAGGAAAAGCCGATGGTAATTAATGCCCGGATCGTTCCACCTTCGGATTACGAACAATCTCCCAGGTGTCCGGCTCGGTTGAATGAGCACGAATCACCCGTTATATAAGATAATCCATGTGGCTAAATTTTGGAACCAGGCAGCCCAAGACCGATTCTAACCCCTGGTGTTGTGTAAAACAGCAGCCATCATGTTCCGAGAGAATATCGGACTAATCTTCCTAACAGCTTTGCCTGCTGTGCTCCTGTCCTACTTCCTGAGTGTCGCTCTCCCGTCGCTGAGACTCCGATGGAAAACCTCTCAGTTTCCCGTGATAAACAAGAAAAAAGGCGAATGGTCCGATGCCAATGCCGTGAAACGATGCGCCCACAATGCCCAAGCAATTCTTCAAGAGGGATATGAGAAGGTAGGCTCGCAGCTCGTTCAAGGATTCCCAAACCAGATTATTGACCAACAGCGCCAGTACAATGGTCCATTCCAGCTTATCGGCTCCTTTGGAAGGAGAATTGTTCTTCCTCCGGAAATGGGTGAGCATGTCAAAACGGATCCTCGCTTCACTGCCAGTGAGGTGGTAAGGCAAACCATGGCCGGCTCCCTGCCCGGTTTTGAAGGCTTGCTGCCAGTCATGGAAGCCGGCGCGCCCAATGTGTTCATTCAGATGATTCGCTCAAAATTGACCTCAAACCTTGGTATATTGCTATTGTGAGACCACCGGTGGGCGTACGACACTGACGTTCTCCTGCAGGCAAGTTCACTCAGAACCTCGCAGAAGAGACCCAAGAGGCTTTCGATGAGAGGTGGGGAACAAGCACTGGTAAGCCACCAAATGGCGCAATACATAGGATGCCTTACTAATAAGGGGACTAGAATGGCACGAGGTCGACTTGTTGGCCAGTCTCCGCGACATCGTCACACAGGTGTCAACGCGCATCTTCCTGGGACCCGAACTCTGCAAGAACAAAGAATGGCTGGATAATACCCAAGCATACACGGATAATGTCTTCAAAGCCGTGCGATCGATCCGCCGCTTTCCCGCATGGTCTCGTCCCTATGTCCAATGGTTCTTGTCGGACTGCGCCAAAATCCGCCGACAGGTCAAGCGCGCCGAAGAAATCATCGAACCCGTCATCGCCAAGCGGATCGAAGAGATTGCCCTAGCCCAGAAGGGTCTCGCCGAGATGCCTAACGATGCTATCACATGGATGCACGAAGTCGCCACGGGCAAGGGCAAGGAATACCACGGAGCGCACATTCAACTGTCCCTTAGCATGGCATCGGTGCACACAACATCGGATCTCTTTTCCAATATCCTCCTCCAGCTCTGTCGGCATCCGGAGTGGATTGAACCGCTGCTCCAGGAAGCACAATCAGTCCGTACAGATGGTGCGTGGGAGAAGACGTCGCTCTATCGGATGAAGCTCGCCGACAGCGTCATGAAGGAGACACAGCGCATTAAGCCCCTGGGTGTCCGTAAGTCTTCCCTCTCTCCCCTTCCGAGCAGCCTAAGAGCCGGGGATTAACAGAAGTTAGTTCTATCCCACCGCCATGTCAGTGACGACGTGGTGCTGCCCGATGGCACACTCATTCCGAAAGGCGCCATCGTCGCCACCAACATGTCGCGCATGTGGGACCCGGAATACTACCCGAACCCCGAAGAATGGCAGCCCGACCGATACCTGAAGCTGCGTGAGGAGCCCGGGAAGGAGCACTCGTCGCAGTTCGTCACGACCACGATGGAAAGTCTCGGGTTCGGCATCGGGAGTCACGCCTGCCCCGGAAGGTTTTTCGCCTCAAGCAAAATTAAGCTTCTGCTCAACCACGTGCTCCAGAACTATGAATTTGAACGGGTGGATACGGAAAAAGACGCGACCCCCTGGTTCGTAGAATATGTCACAAATCCAAAGGCGAAGCTGCGGGTGCGAAGGAAAAAGGTTGCAGCATAACGTGGGAGGTTATGTCCAATGGAGATGTCCTGGCGCAGCAAACGAGCAACTAACCAAGTTAAACAGAAGACAGAATCACAATGACATCCATCCTGTTCAGCATACCGTGTAGCGAGAACTCGGAAATATAGACCATGGTTTCTTACTGAGGTACTTACTTACACCTTACGCCACCTTTTCTAAGAGCTCGAATTTTCGATGTTCAGTTGGTATGGTCACTTTTTGACATCATGGTTGCTCGACAATATAGAGGTTTTGTGTGGTTCAATCTTCAAACATTCTGTTTCATCTGGCCAGCAAACGCTGCTATAGTTCGAAACTAGGTGAAATACACAAAGCCGCCTTTGTTTAGTAGCGTATTGCCCTGTCCATGATCGGTCCCGCGGATGATCTGTGAAGACAGCTAATGCCAACAGGCCTGCACACCGCACAAGTGCGCTCTCTAGAACAAGAGACCTCTTACTGTGCCCTGTAGCTCTCGACTCGTGTTGCTTCTCATCCAATCTGCAAGAAGCTGGGCCAGGTGGATCGCTTTTTTCCTTGGCAAGCATAGCATGATGATAATTTCTAGCGTGGAGAATTTAGGCTGCCAAGTCCGCCGTTCACTAGTGCTGACGGTATCGCTTATGCGATTTGCCTTCATCCCAGCTTTCTCATATCAGTTTGGACAACCTACTTCACTGTTAGGTTTCTGATTGATTCAATCAGTAAGACTTACAACAGCACGGAGATCAAGAATTTTCTAGCCCTGGCACACCTCGATTCAGACACACAACATGGATATTTAACTCACCATTATTTTGGGGGGGGGGAAAGGACCTTAGGGGAAAGAAGCTAGGAAATAGAATAGAACAGAACATGGGCGTTATTTCTTCTCAGGACATTGCACTGTAAGAACTTCCCAAGCTGCCCCGGCATAATATCAAGTCACGCGCCTGAAGAAGTCGACAAGTGGGGAGATCCGATAGATGAGACCCTTTTTCAACCTCGTCTTCACCCCCTCGGAAATCCACGAATGAGGCATGGAAGCGAGAGAGACGGGCAATGCGGCGGGGACAAATAGCCGGTACTAAAACTCCCGCTAGACCCTAAACAGCAACTGAGCTGGACCCCGAAATGACAGTCCCGCCGCTATTGTTCGTATCCGGGGCTTTAGTCTCATTATCATTCTCCATTCTATGCTTCAAGCTCGTATGTCGAGTCGTCTAATGATGCGCCATATCGTGAGCGATTGGATATGTTTCGGTCACAATCAATCATACGAGACTCAATTTCTCTCGTCTGGGTGCCGTCTGACAACTTGACCGGACAGAAAAATCTATAAAGCGCACTGGGGTTGCTCGTCTCTGCTCGTCCTTCACATCGCATTCTCGATCTCTTCTCAGTCAAGATCATACCTACCTCCCTCACCATGCAGCTCCTGTCCCTCGCCACCATGGCCGTCCTCGCCGCCGTCGCCGCTGCCAAAAGAAACGTTTACATGTGCCCTGGACCGTACGTTGACTGCACCCCATCCACGTCGAACATAACACTGATACCTCTCACACAGCAACTGGACGGGCCCCTGCACTCTGTTCGGCTTCGACAATGGCGAGTGCATGGACATCAGCTTCTGGGATACCCTGGGCTCGATCGGTCCGGATGAGGGTGAGTGACGAGCGTGCCCCAGCCAGCGAGGATATAAACTAATGTTGTTCAGGCCTGGTCTGCTCCATGTTCGTCGAGCCGGGCAACTGCTACATGACGACGGGCAACTTCAACTCGGGCGGTTTCGTGAGCCCCGGCATTGCCGACTTGACGACCTGGCAGATGGGCAGCGGCGAGAAGTGGCCGGGATACTGGTTCAGCAACGCCAAGACCGTTCAGTGCTTGTACCAGTAGTCAGCTGGAGTCATCTTCTCATTGTCTTTTACTTAGCGTGCACAAAATTGAAATGCATTCATTACCATTACCGTTTTGGGAAAATGGATCTCTGCTCGGATGGGGCGGTGAGCCCCTCCGGCTTGGCGGGGTGTTTGTCTATCTTATCTCCGTATTCAGAATCCACGCGGTCATCGAGCCGGTTCTATTTCACAACTTATGAACAGCCTTATCTCATTCTAGTCTCGTTCTAGTCGATTATCTGATCTGGCATTTGCACTCTTGCTGTGCGAACACTCATCTAGTTTAGTGCGTGGCCTTGATGCCGGAGGGAGTCGTTTTGAGGTCCGAGCTGGATACACGCTGAAGATATATCCTTTGATTGCTCTCAGCTCACGGGTTGAAGTCTTAGACGGCAAAGGCTCTTTGACTACGAAACGAGGCTAGAACCTCAAATATAAAACAACCTATGACATTCTTCAAATGTAAAGTTACCATTGTCGACAAGTTCAGAAGAAAGCTTAGGAGGAGGGCAAACAGAGCCAATATTGTTAATACATGCATCTGGGTCCGGTGGATGTTCTACAGCTTCCTGCGATCGCCCAACCACCATTGACATCACTCTCCATGCTTAGCAGCCTGGACGTCACGTGTAGCAGTGCTTACTCACTCTCAATATACACCCATGCAGTGTGATAGATCTGTCTAGAGACATCAACCATGTTGAAGCTGTTACCAGGAAGAGTCGAGAGTTGCATATACTGCTGTACGACTTGTTCACAATCCAAGGTGGCGGGCGCAGAGCAGGCAGCCAGTTGGTGAAGTGGCCCCCTTCCACTTTCTGGACCCAGAAAGCTCGACTGGCAGGTTTTCCACGCAGCATTCCATGGAAGCAGCTGATTATAGACGCTGGAGTTGTTCGCTGGTAGGGAAGTCTAAGCCCACCCGGGCGTCTCAACTTGTAGATCATGCAGGATGGGTCGCAAGCCGTGTGACCGCGGCATTTAGCTGCAGATCTAGATCAGCCCACTCCGATGCACGGTGACATAAAGCAACCCGCAAATCCACCGTTCCACCAACTATAATGACCATACCTGGTTTCATGCTGCAGGATTGCAAGTGCGGGGTTCGTGGGCTGAAAGACCAAAAAAGCAATGATGGACTGAAACCGGTCGCAGCTCCGACCAAGATCCACTGTGTGACAGGGGTCTATAGATTAACCTGCCCCCAACCAGAGACTTAGTACGCACAGGGCATCCAATATCTACGACCCAATAGACATCAGACTAGGGTCGGACCGGTCAGCCCTTTGAGTTTTCAGCTGTCGATCGGTCTTCCAATGGCTGCAGCATTCCCTAGATCACAGCGTAGGTGCGAGTCATGGTGACAGCAGAGGCATCTGCAGCTGCAGCACCTCCTCTCGGTCGCATACTACTTAAGCCCAAGGGGCTTCCTGAGCTGAGGTCGTACATCATCTTCAGAGATTGCCCTGCACAGAGCACCCCCAAGACTACTTTCTCTAACAAAATGGATTTCTTGAAGTCTACAGCCACCCTTCCCAAAGTGACCCTGCCCGATCTGGGGCAGTTGACCTCCGGGACCGTCAAAGACTTCCGAGCCCTAATCCAAAATGATCCGGCCCTGCTCAAGAATGCCACCGCCATGTTCATCCAGGCTGGCTCCGATCCCCTGAGCGTGACGCAGAACCTGGCCGGGTTCCTGGTGAACCTGGACAAGATCACGCGGACTGCTCCTGCCTACGACGCCTCTGCGGCCAAGAACTCCCTCGGAGGTAGCATGGGAATCCTGACCAACCTGCTGGAACCCTACCTCAAGACCGCCGCCGGGCAGGAATTCTTCCGGGACGCGCGAGTGGACAAGGTCCTCCAATCTCTGCTCAAGGAGTGGACGGTCTACCTGAAGTCCCCGGAGTCCGCCAGCGTCCTCACCGACGACGACGGCGGGTGGTTCAGCCGCGCCGCCCTGTCCGACGAGGAGCGGGAGGCCTTCTTCCGGGACTATCAGGGCGAGCAGGAAGCCCTGCACTACGGCTTCCAGTCCTGGGACCAGTTCTTCACGCGCGAGTTCCGGGCGGGCGCGCGGCCCGTCGCGGCGCCCGACGACGACAATATCATCACGGCCGCCTGCGAGTCGGTGCAGGTCGTCTTCCAGCCGGACGTGCAGCTCTCCGACACCTTCAACATCAAGGATCACAAGTACTCGCTCAGCACGATGTTCGGCGACCAGGAGCTCGCGGGGAAGTTCGGCGGCGGCCGGCTCTACCAGGGCGCCCTGAACCCGACCAACTACCACCGCTGGCACGCGCCCGTCTCCGGCACCATCAGCACCATGCAGGTCATCGCGGGCACGTTCTTCAACTCCGGGATGAACGCCGCCTTCGACGCCAGCCCCGTCACGGCCGAGATCGAGAACGAGGTCGGCGCAGCGCTGCACGAGGCCACCCGGTGCGTCATCGTGATTGACAACGCCAAGCTGGGCCCCGTCGCGTGCGTCTTCGCCGGCATGCGCGAGCGCGGCTCCTGCGAGCCGACGGTGCGGGCCGGCGACGAGGTGAGCAAGGGGGATCAGATTGGGATGTTCCATTTCGGCGGCAGCACGCATTGTCTGGTCTTCAACAGGAACATCAACGTTTCGGTTCTATCGGAGGGGGCGGTTCAGTCCGGTCAGCCGGTTGCGGTGAACTCGCAGCTGTTTACTGTGTCGTAGGATGTCTGCGCGAGCTTCGTGGGCAACAGAGTCATGTCGCCAGAGGAACTGTCGGTGAGGAGAATGCATCACCATAAGGGCTCTTTGCCATCTGTTTGTTCGGGGTTCATGTCGTGGCCCGAGAAACTATTCTCTCGGTTCAATGTGTTTCTGTCGCGAGAGTCTTTGCTGTATCAGAGTATGTATGGAACGATGACTTCAGTCGATGGCCAATTGAGCTGTCGCAAGTCTTTAGGTGGTATGGTCAAAGATAAGTTGAGATTATTCACCGCTCTCTGTGGCCCCAATCACTCATCCAACGGGGATTGGGTCAAGAAGGCCTCTTCCAATCGATTGACAGGTTGTATTGAAGAAGACTAGAGGGCATAGAATGATAGGGAAACTGCTTTAATTGACTGCAAAGACGATATGAGGTCAGAAACGGATTCCTAGATTGGTCAAACCGATGGGGGTTGTTTTTTGGCTGGAATGTCGTCCGTGTCTTTTGTGACTGGATCGTTGTCGGTGTCGTACCCACTGCCTAGGAAATCATTGTCGTTCGGGAATGCACAACAAATCAAGGGTGGTTTGAGGGCCGGAAAGCGCTGCTTGAGCTCGTTGAATGTCCACCAGGCCGGGATGGCTTGGATTGTGAAACGATCCGAAAAGTGAACGATGCCGACGACGCTGAGATGCGGCTCCTCGATGACCCACGCTCCCCACTCCGAGAGGAAGCCGTCCGACTTGAAAGCATAGTGGTAGCACAGATCCGCCGTGCCCTGACACTGCGCACAGGGCTTCACAATGTCCAACGGCTCATCGCTGGGGGGAAGCTCCCGGTCCGGGATCATCAGCTGCCAGCGCGGCACGGGCTTATCCTTGTCCATGATGGTGGGGAGCAGCACCCAACTCGCGTCCGGACCGGGCACGCAGGTCTCTGCGAGCTCCTGGTTCACCAGCTCCACGAGGGCCCAGTTTCCGATCCGGGAGAAGTATCGCTTCTGGGGCTGCAGGGTCTCGGGATCCGGAGGGATGCGCCCCCAGAGGGCGTGGGGCGCGCGGGCGTCGTAGATCTCGGTCGACTTGATCTCCGCGTCGTAGGGGGTGGTGTGCCAGAAGGGCTGCGTACCGACGCCACAGAAATGGTCTTCCAGGAAGGGGCTGAGCACCGTCAATCCAAACCATTTGCCCTCCAGTTGGAGAATGCCGCCGATAATGCCCGCCCGTGGCTCGGGGTCCTCACTGCGACAGGTGATGTATCGGAGCCCGCTGATGTTGCCGGTCCTGTCCACGTCGATCTCCCTTACCTGACTCTGGGCTGGCTTTAGGCCTGGAGAAGATGGTTCTCGTTTCATGTCGGACATCGTGTGAGGGGGAGTCTATCTGTTGCTGCTTAACGATACTGGGGACGAGTGTCGTGGGAAAGATAGTGGTGGTGACAAAGAACTGCTCTTATATGTAGAAGGTGAGCATTATTTATCTGTTTCTGCGGCGGCTAGATTGAGAGTATCTCCGGGACATTGACAAGAGGCACTGTTAACAAGAAAGAATAATAGTCGCTGCACAGAAAAATCCCGTCATCCATTCACAAAGGAAGCGAAAAGCTCGAAAGTATTGAAAGAAGGCATGTCGCCGCAGTTAGCAACTACTGCGGAGGATTAAGCGTGCTCAAGCTGTGTTTGTACGGCTTGATCGACCCGCTCTATCTTCCAAGGGGACCGCTGTGAATGAGACCTACACGTGAATGTCATATATTCTCAGACCTGGATGACCCCCACAAAGCCAGTGTTATGCAAATGAGGTGATTGTGGTCTCTCCACCAGCGGGAACAAATCAAGCGAAAGCGCGAAGTATATGATTTAGTCCTATCTAGAACTTGCGAAACTGCTACCTCACAAGCTCGATGCTAACTTGAGGATCACGGGCATAGACCCGCAAGCCAAGCACGCAGATTGCATTCCAGGGCGATGGTGAACTTCCATCTGTATCAACTGCCTGCTCATGCGGAGTTGCTTCTTCCTTATCTTGGTCTTTCTTGTCATCGTCTTGTTTGTCGTCTTTTTTGTCAACATCCTTGTTGTCATGGTGTTTCTTGTCATCTTGCTGGTTGTCTTCATCCCGTTTGCCATCATGCTTCTTCTCATTATCCCTATTGTCTTCATCCTGCTTGTCAAGGTGCTTTGTATCTTCTTGCACATTGTCTTCGTGATGCTTTTCAACGTCTTTGCCCTTCCCCTCATGAACCCTTCTTGATGAACCGGGTGCTGGGAGCACTGCAGGTGAAGGCTCTGCAGCGTGACCTTCTCTCTTGCAATTCTCCTCTTTGCTGGAGTCGTGCAGACTGTTTTCTGCTTTTTCATCGTCTGCCTTCTTGACAGACTGATCGTTCGCAGGCTCATCGTTTGCAGATTCAGTAAGTTCAGACTTATCTTTGCCAGCTCCATCTGTGCCGATCTCATCCTGAACGGCGTCACCCTGGCCAGCCTCACTCTTGCTAGCTTCTTCCTTTCCAGGATCACCGGTCGCGTTTGTGGCCTCAATGCTCTGAGCTTCAATCTGCTTTCCAGATTGAACTTTAGCATTCGCCAGGTCGTAATTCATGGCAACTTGTTTCAGCTTCTGGGGATTTTTCTCCACCCACTCCTTCACCACATCTTCCACGTTCTTCTGGTCAGAGTCTCTGGTTGCGAGAAGCTTGATAAGGATCTCGTATCTGCCAGGCTCAAGCTTAACCTCCGCACTGATCGAGCGATTGCCCCGGCACTGAACCGGCCGGACAAGCAACAGGTGCTCTCCGGGTTTCGCATTCTCCTCCTGAAGGAGGAAGTGCAGCGCAAAGTCGTACTGCCCTTCAAGGCCTCTCATATAGCGTTTATCAACCTGCGAACAAGTTAACCTCTGCTTACATAGCCATTATGATGTCGATGCGAGAAAACGCAGATTCAGCATACTTCAGAGAGAACGAAAACCACGGGGCCAGCTGCCCTGATCTCGACCACGAACTTGGTTCGAAGATACCCTTCAATCCAAGGGACGCTGACGCTCGTCCACCGCTGGACCACTGTCCACGTCTCGTCGAAGATGCGCGTCCGGTGCAGAAACACGAACGTCGAGAGCAGATCCTCATATGCCATCCAAAACATGCCGTCGTCTCCGAATCGGTGCTGCAGTTTCTGGAGCCAGTAGGGGGTCCACTCGCGCGAGCCATCGCTCCAGGGGCCATTCCACTCCCCGACCCCGCCGGTATTCCTCTCGCCCCAGGGGTTCCTGACGAGCACCAGCCGCACCTTCTTCCCATCCTCGTCCTCCTCCTCCGTCGCCCGGAGAATGGAGTACGCATGCCCCAGCGCCAGCCCCCCGCGCGTCCAGTCTCTGCCCGACCCCAGCGCCGACGCAGCAAACACAAAATCCCGCTCCGCATTCACCAACTCCCTCCACAGGGTATTCTTATTGAGCACCTTGTTCGTCGCGATCGTCGTCGTCACGCCGCCCGTCATATCCTCGACCGCCTCGCCGGACCAACCGCCGGAGAGCGCCTCGTAGTCGCCATGCACCTTGGCATACGCCTTCTCCAGCAAGGGCAGCCAGGTCTCATTGGCGTCGGAGCACTTGGCAAAATACAGCGCCTCGGAGCCCGTCTGGTGCCGCTTGCGGTACTGCCGGGCCAGCCGGCCGGTGCTGTCGTAGCGATCGCCGTAAAAGTCAAAGTCCTCGTGCGCCAGGTACAGGTTATCGTCCACCACGGTCGACACCCACTCGCCGTCGCGGTAGAAGACGAAGCCGTAGACGCCGCACTCCTCGTCGCGCGCCAGGCAGATCCGCTCCATCAGGTCCGGCCGGTTGCAGATCGTTGCTACCGCCGCCAGCCACCAGCAGTCGCCGTTGGCGCCCTGCTTGATGTCCGTGTTGGAGTACCCGTCGATCGTGAACCGGGGGTCCTCGAAGATCCAGTCGACGCGGTGGACGGAGCCGGGCATGCCCTCTTCCTCGTCCGTGTTGTCATCGGAGGAAGAGGAGGAGCTGCTGCTGGACCGCCAGTCGTCATCCGCCTTCGTACCCAACCCCCTTACCCCCTGTCTCCCCACTCTGCCCCTACCTCGTGCAGCAGCACCATTCCTCCCTCGTGCAACACCCATATCCACACCCCTCCCCTCCCCGCCAAATTTCTCCCCCCGCACCAACCCGCGCAGACAGTTCCACAGCTCCAACTCGCGATCATTCTCAAGGTCGAATTCCGGGTCCGTGAACTTCTCATTCACGCGGTGGCACTCCCGCACGATGCGCTGGACCTCCGCCCGGCACTGGCGGGCGGCCGCCTCGTAGCTCTCCGCTGCATTGCGCGCGGACGATTGGCCCGGGCTTTCCCGCTGCGACGGGAGGAGATCCGCATAGAGGCTCTGGGGAAAAATGGTGGTGACTTTGCCTGGGGTTTTGGCGATGAAAGTGTTCCAGAATGCGGTGAGGGTTGTTTGGGGGGTGGAGGGGGTGGGGGGGTCTGGTGCTTGCGGGGCGGCCATTGTGCTGGTTACTTTGGTTGGTTAGTAGAGATGGAACCTGGGTGTGGGTGTGTAGGGTTTGGAGCAAGGGTCAGAAGAATGTGTTTTATCTCAGGAGATTGTATGAGGAATGTGGGAAGGTGTTAGGTCTTATAGTGTAGTAGATTCATAATAGCGGGTGTGCTGGTGCAGGGATGTTTGCGTGTGAGACAAGGCTGAGGCGTGAGTGAGAAGGATAGTGTGTTGTTGTCGGTTGTGTTACTTCCGTCAACCCCGCGCTTAATCTGATGACTGGCTATGTTTGTTGGAGATTCTCTGAGAGGTCTCGGTATCTGGATCCTCATTCATCCATCTAGCACTTGTACGAGAAAGATTGACCAGAATAACACTGAAGCTTAACAGGAGTGCATGCATCTCTGCTGGTAATGTGTATATGTGAAAAGCCAGAAAAATGAGCTAACAGTGGCGGGCTCGTATTTCGAAGCTGCAGAGGTGCGGCTGACAAGGCCGGATAATATGTGAATGGAGGGGAAAGTTCTGGGCATGTCTGCATGTGCGGCTCGTCGCGTGCAACCAGCCCAACTGTCATCCCAACACTATGCAGACACCTTACCGAGCTATGTGTGAACCCGTTATTACTATATCGTCAAGTATAGCAGAAACACCCCGCGACAGACATCATGGGCAACTGTAAGGTAAGGCTGAATTTCTGGAGTGTAATTTTGAGCCATTGTTCTATTCCCAAGACGGTCTAAGTACTATGATTGAGCGTTTCCAGCATGCTTTCGGGGTAATAGCTTGTTAGATCAGCATTCACCTAAGCGGGTGAGACGTCAGGCCCTGCATTGAAGGTGGGCAAAGAAAGACGCCTGGCAGACTAGCCGGGCGGGAATTTCCGCTGCCCCAGCCCACGGGCGGTGAAGATCGGCTCTTCCCATCCCTCCCTCCCTACGCTCGTCGCTTAGCCTGAGGCTTTCAATGGCTGTCCCTTTTAAGTGCCCCATCCGCGCCGCTCGCTGACCATGTGGTTGCGGTATCGATGTCCCAGCATTCGGATAAAAGGCATGTCAGGGCTTCATTCAGGCGAGAAATACGATGCTCCGAAGACAATCTATCATGTATGCCTGTAGTGGGAGGCGTGAAACGGTTGCCCTGTCACTCCTGCGGAGCAGCAGCTATGAAAGAATCTGTTAGTAAACGAGATCGATCGCCAGGATCACGGGACACAGATGGCAGGTGTGCTAGTCAAGGAACAAATGAGAATCAGATCAATCTCGAGAGCACCACACGTTCGCCAGTCTGATCTGCAGTAGAGATGCCTCTAAGGGCGAAGGCTGAGGGGCAGGGTTCTTTAACACTTCCTGCAGGGCCACGAAGCGAGGAGGTCTCTCCTATGCATACCGAAAGTCGAACCATGACTCCACAACAAGTCTATTCATGCTCGTGATAGATACATTAAGACATTACAAGGTTATTCCTAAAATATGGGTATAATAGAAGCAAACGAATGACGGGGTCCATTATCAGGGTACGCGGAGGTCACGTGCTTGGTTTGGGGTTCACCCTCGGTGGTGCTCAACTCGCTTATCCACATTACAACACACCCTCACAGAGGTTAAATCGGTGTGCACACTAGCGGGCCTGACCAATCTCTTCATCCTGCGCATTTAAATGCGCAGAAGGTTCCTGAGGCTGATGTGCGACCGGGGTCGAGTGCGACGTTTCCGCCATCTCCGGGCCGGCAGTGGCAGCGGGAGCAGCGGCAGCGGGGGCGGCAGCCAACGCGCCACTGGCCTCCGCCGTCGACCCCTGTCTCGACTGCGGCGCCACACTGGACGCAGGACTGGGCTCGAGGAGACGCGGACCGGGGGTCCTCTCGGGCTGCTTGCTGGTCTTGACGCGCGCCGGGGCCGGACCCAGCATGGGCGGGTACTTGAAGCGGAAGCCCCAGACGAAGAAGAGCTTGAGCTTCGTCCCGAAGCCCATCGCCTTCCAGCGCTTCTTCAGGACCTCGCCGTCGGCCTGCGAGCGCGCCCGGTAGCCCTTGCGGAACCAGCACAGCAGGAACAGCGTCACGGGGAGGATGGTCAGCGACCAGAAGACGGGGATGCCGCGCCGGGTCTGCCAGCCGGTCATCAGGCGGCGGAAGCGCACCCAGGCCTCGATGAAGCCCAGGATCAGGAACAGACCGATCCAGCCGAGGGTCAGAATCAGCGTCAGCGCCAGCGGCGAGATCCCGAAGTAGTCGGGGTCGAGGAACCAGTTGTAGTTCTCGTCGTCCCAGTTGTTGTAGTACCCGTTGTAGTAGCCGCTGCCGTACGAGCTGGAGGAGCTGGTACTGGTGGGGTAGCAGCCGTCGCCGGTGTAGAGCTCGCTCGGTTGGTTGTACTGACTGAGGGAACTCAGGGAGTTGCTGGGGACCTGGGTCGGGTCGACGTACACGATGTCGATGGTGTAGGTGGTGGGCTGGAAGGGCTGGCTGTTGTCGACGGACAGGGAGGTGGAGACCGCGGTCAAGGGGAGTAGGCTCTGCACGCGGACCGGCGGGTAGATCTCGGCCGCGGTTGTCGTGGTCCAGTGCGAGGAGCAGCCTGTGGGCGCCGTAAAGGTCAGGTTGACCACGAACATGGTGCTGTCGGCGGCGTCCTCATTGTCGTAGAGGTAGTCGTAGTAATCAGCCCCCACGCCGGTGGGGTACAGCTCTTGGATGACAGTGATATCGGAGTTGGAGTTGATGACTTCATTGTAAGCGCCATACTCGCGATAGGTGGCGACTGAGGTGATGGTGGACTTGGCTGGTGGCAGGGAGGTGACCGTGGGGGTGATTTGTTCGATCTCGGTGGTGGTATATGTCTCGTAGTAGTCGGACTCGGTATAGACGTTCTCTTGGTAGTAGGCAGTAACGATCCAGGGAGCTGCCGCAACGAATGACGACAGCTGGATCCAAAGGAGTGACAGCAACAACAAAAACGAAGGTGAGGACGCCATCGTGGATGGTCGCCGGGGTAGATTGGCTAAATGGCTAAAGAAGCATGCAGAAATTGAAGAATGGGTGTGGCGCTCACTGGCCTTATTATACGAGGGGTCGAACAACACACTAGGCTCAACTCTGTAGAGTCACGCCGTACAGCGAGTCTAGTAAGGGAAATTGGCTTTAGCTCCTCCGCCGATTCTACTCGCTATTATTGGCCGGGTTTCATACGCAGGGACGATGTGAAGGGTCTATCTCTTCTAGTCAGGGCGCTAAGACCCTCTTTACCATCTTTGTTTTCAGGGTCAAGCGATTCAAATGACTTCTGCATCAGATCTTGACCATGTGTCTCAGCAGGGTTCACATGTTCGTCTTGCAAACTCACACTCACGTCCTTTATCCTCTGACAGAGGGTAGAGTGCCGGAACATAGAGACCTCTCATGGTTTTTCCCATGAATTCTCTCTTGTTCTCTCTTGTCATCTTTCCTGACGAAAAAGCACTCGTCGCTGGTGGGAAATTGCCGGGGGCGAGAAGCGACAGGGGAAAGAGGTTAGCGGCCTCGCTTTCAGGGTTTAGTTATACGGCTATCCGCAATGCAGCCTAGTTCCTTCGACTAGCCTCGTAAAGTTGGACGGTTTGTTCCGGATTTTCTCAATTGAGCCTCTTGGCCACCGACCTAGTGCCATTTAGTCCTAACCGCAGCCCTGATTTGGTTAGCAGCGGACCAAGGTTTGACACTGGGTGCCTGCTGATGCCTGCTGGTGCCTGATAGACTACCGACCGAGTCAAGGGTTTGAACGGGGGCAAGTTCTAAGAAAGATTTTTTCTTGTGCTCCTTTGGTGCCTGAGGTGTCACTGCGGTGCCAAGACTTGCCCTATCTTTGCTCTCTGGCTCAATTCCCACGCCCACAGAATTTGAAAAGGGGAGAGAGAATGATGTGAAAAAAAAATAAGAATTACCTACCGTCATGTCAGCATGCATCATGATATGGGAGATTCCAAGAATCATAAGAGGTGGACGTCTGCCGAGAAATGATTGGGCTCTGCGTGCAGTACAAGAGAGTGCCCCGAGAAATATATACTAGTAGTCTAAAAGGAAAGTACTTCTTTTTCAACAACGGAAGAGTCAAGTTATTGAGAGACACAACAATGGAAAGAAGAGTCTAAAATCACCAACTGCCAACCGCCCAATCTCACATATTAAGCCTTTCCTCCCGTACTAAGCGTACCCCGTCTGCCGTTCAATCACGGCACGACAAAGTGACCCCTTAGTATCTCCACGATCCGCTACCACCAGGGCAACCAGGCGAGCCGTAGACCCCCCTTACCGTCCACATAATGAAGCTAGCCATACACCAGAATGGGATGGCTGCAATGAGAACGGCGAGCAAAGCTTGGAGAAGGAAAGAATGCTCGAAGACTTTAGATGCAGCGCCGCAAACCAAGAGTAGTAGCGGCGCCAACATCTTGAAGACAGCAAGCGCCCAATGGCGCGCGCACCATTGGTCCATCCCGAGCCATCCCAGGTACACCGACAGCAGAATCGCCGTGCGTTCTTGCCGATAGCACTGGTTGTCCATTGGCCGCTCGGCAAGCCCGCCACAGAGCGCCTGCAGATGCTCGTGGCTATAACCACACTCCTCCCGGAGCCGGGCCTCTCTCTCGCCATAGACATGCCGCATGATAGTGTAAGTCACAAAACTACCGAACCCAATCATCAGAAATAAAGCACAAATATACGCTACGATAGCTTGACGCTGGGTAGTCGCCTCCCCTAAAGTCAAGAAAGGCGAGTTGCGCTGACGCCGACGGAATTACGGAGCCTTAGCCTCAATGTCATGGCCAAGACCCTTTTCGAGTTCGTGGTCCATTTTGTACGATGAACACGATTGGATGGTCACAGATTGCGAGAGGCCGAAAATGTGTTGATGAGCAAGCGGGAGGCAGGTTGAGTTGTGGTGAAGGTGTTGGCAGCAAGGAAATGGGACTGGTTGTGGGCGGGGGGCTTGCTAGATTTATATGGCCGATGCTGTTCCCTCTGTGTGTGGCTCTTCTTGTGTCGTTCTTTGCCTTGATCAATAGATCTTTTGACGACTCTCAAGACAGAGACATATGCTTATGGAAAGCTTCTGCTGTCTCTCATCCCTCTGTTTCGACTGCCCCTCTTTGTCTATCGTTCTTCGAACAATGTCTGTGTCGACTGAACCATTGTCCGCCCACTGTAGCCTACTCCGCGCGTAAAAATTTACCGTTGCAACGATTGATTCTGACTGGGCATCAGAACACAATAGCCTGGGCGTTTACTGTTTTTGAAACTGGTGACAAACCAATGCAGCCAATAAACAGTCATAGTCACTTTGTCATTATTGTACCATTCTATAGCCATAAGATCCTCAGTCGCGGGCGCCATCACTGCCCTAGCGTCTTCTCGAGTCTCAACAAAGACTCTGCCGTATCTTTGATACTTGCCTCCAAGGAATAGAACTCGATCCCCAGCCGCGTGCGCACTTTCTCATTCGACACCCCATACACCTGGGGCACCTCCCGCGCCGCCTTACATTCAGGCACCTTCGCCGTATCAATCCCAGGGACCTTGGTCCTCAGAATCTCACACACCTGCGCGTAATCAAAATTGCCGGCAACCACAAAGAACCGCTCATTAGCCGCCCCGTCGACCTCAAACGCGCGCAGATGCGCCTCCGCCACGTCCCGAACATCGACCCAGGCCGGGAACCCGGTCGGGGGGATCTCGTTCAGACTCCCGTTCATGAGCCGGTACACGTCCGCGGCGCTCTCATTCAGGCGATCCATGTTCGCGACGTGGTGCTCGACCGGCCCGTAGATCATCGGGGGACAGATCGTCGACAGGCTAAAATTGGGCTTCTCGCGCGCCACGAACTCCCACGCGGCTTTCTCGGCCAGCGCCTTCGAGGCGCAGTAGGCCGTAGGCCCGTCGGCGGTCTTGGCCTGCTCGTACGTCTCCGGGTTCCAGTCGGCCTCGGTGTAGGTGTGTTCGGGCCAGTAGCCCTTGCGGACCTTGATGCTCAGGGCGCCTGGCCTTCTCCGGTCCCGCCATACTGGGGCAACATATAGGTGTGGACTGATGTCAACGTCGGTGTCCTGATCTCATCCTCACCTCATGAAGCCGCTAGTCCCATTTCGAGACGCGAAACGGGTTGATTGTGGGACCTCTCTCACCCATTGCACCTGTTATGGCAACTTGGGACAATAATGTTTAGTGATATAGTATCCACCACGGGAACTCGGCACCATCTTCCCCCATCGTGAGGTAGGATCATTAGGAAAAGAGAGTGACAACAAGCCCCACTAACTTTGATAAGCTTCACCTATTTAGGGTGATGCTTAACGTGCCGGGTAAGACGGATGTGCTTGACATTGACATTTGTCGCGGGCACGTCCCCGTGTATGGAATGCGACGAAGGGTGATAGGGTGGTCCATAGAGAGCCGCGCACCGCGGCCCGGGTTCTCGGGCTTGGCTGCAATCGAAGGACTCCGGAGCATGAGGTTCCGGGTTGTCTTGAAACACCCGCGCGGATTGGGTTGTGGCGGTTGTAGGGTCTCAATGTATTGCTTTGCTAGCTGTCCGTTATGCGCACAATGAAAGATAATGTATGCCGCCTCCAAGTGGCTCAATCTCTCCCGTTTACTGCCTGTTTAGGCAATTTTGGCACTCATTTTAACGATATCCGCTCCGAACGTACGAAAAAAGGCCTGATCAAGTTCAATCTTAGGTTATAAAATCGTGTAATGATCCCAGCAAGAGGATGTCTGTTCTGACGGAGGTATCCCACACCCAACCTGATTAAATCTTCGGTGTTCGCGCGCCTCGTCTCAAGGTTCCGGGCCATCTTATCTCCTTCCGAATTCCGAGGCTTATCTTGCCCGACCGTCTCGTGCAAATGCCCTAGCCAGATCGAGCAGATCGATCCGATCCGGATTGCACCGAGCGACTCGGTCAGTGGTATAGGGGCAGTGCTAAGATATTCTTGCGATCTCGACGTGGTTTGCATAAATGGTAAGTCTCATCGAAGAGTATCGGACCTTTGAAGATCAATTGCCCCATCGCTCGGGGAAGGATCGGATGCGCGGCCAAGCCGGATCCTTATCAATCTTATCGCTCCCAACTCTGGCCAGCCAACGCCGGAACTCGGCTTAAGGATTGAAAGACATAGTAGAGCAAACATGGCTGCGATAAATAGAGAAATATGAAGAGTGCCCGCAGGCTTTCTTTGCTGTGCTTAGAAAGAGGGAAATACTTGGAAATTTTTCAAGTAGCGTCGCTGGGTAGCAAAATATCTGGCCAACGAGGGAAGGACCATAATGTTAATGTACTGCGTACCCGAGATCGCATGCAATGCATGCCGCCAAAACCAAGCATCTTAGTGCCCCTCCGTCATCTCCAGCCTTTCTCCTCAACCCCAAGTCCATTAACCCGACTGGTACACACTCCCCAACTAAACATAGACATAATAGAACCTCGGGCCCTGCAGTCGTACTCATCGACTCCCGCATCCGCACCCCCTGCCCACCATTCACGAACCCCACATTCACCGCCGTCTCCAACGTGGTATACGCCGAGGGCGGCTCATTCAACAACAACTCCATTTCTGCGGTATCTTATCAAACTCGGCTGATATTTGCTATCAAAATACTTCAGATACAGCAAGCCAACTTAGAGAGATTCAGCCTTACACTGCTAGCGAGTTCCATTGCTCATCCTCCCAGTGTGAAGCTCCCTCTGAGACTACAAGCTTACCAGTTAGCAGCATCTGCCCTGGATAATACATCCACTGTTCCAAATCCTTTAATTTTCCAAGCACACCCCCCTCACTCTTTCATACATAATCAAAGTATTGAGTAAGCGTTTGTCAGATGCGTGACCCAACGCTGATTCCTCTACCCTGCCCAGCCCGATCCCGCCGGTCGCTGTCCGGACTGGTCAGCAACATCCTCGCGAATGCCCCCAGCCATCCGGTAATATGACAGTCTCTCTCCCATCTCGTTCAACAACCACAACAATCTACCCATCAAAACCTCAATCTCTCACCCCACCTTCCTCACCTGCTTAACCTCCTGACCCCAGCCCCCAAACAAGACTTCATCCCGCATCCAGCTCCCAAGCAAGCATACACTCCCCGGTCCGAACAACAACGACCCTCCCAGCGCGACGGGAATCATCCTCTGCCAGCGAAACTCCCACCCCTTCGCCGCCCACGCACTCCGCAGTTCCAGCATCACCACAATCATGACCGTCGAGTACCCGGCTACTTGGTCCCAGAGCAAGAACCCACGCACTCCGTCGCCGGGTGATTTGGCTTGTGGGCCGATGGCCAAGGGTGGGATGAAGATAGCGGTCGGGTGCAGTTCCCTGCGGTAGGCAGGTTGGAACACAGTCGGGAAGAGAGCGGTGGCGATAGAGACGGCCACGATGGAGATGTGCATTAGTGTGCTGAAGAGGAGGGCGGGGATGGTGGCTGCTCGGATGGAGTGGATGTGTGCTTCGTTCTTTTTGGAGGTTGCTGGGGTCGTTTGGGTGGTATCCGCAGGGGCGATGAGCTTAAGGAAAGGTCGTAGGGTGTACAGTGATGCGATTATCAGCAGGGGATAGATATTCCAGGCGACGATGGCGAGTTGGTGGAAGTTGCTGCTGTTGCTGATTGTTCTGGCCACGGGGAGGGTCATGAGGGCGGCGGGGACAAGATAGCTGAGAACGATGGCGGGAAAGAGGAGGTGTTTCACCAGCGGCGCGAAGGATGAGATGGTGGAGGTATGCTGGAGAGTGTTGAGATTGATCTGCTTGGAGGGGCGGACGGTGGGAGAGGTAGCGATATAGTTCAGGGCCCATAGGAAGCCGGTCGAGCCTATGGTGCAGCCTTGGAAGAGTAGTAGCCAGAGGGTCGGCCTCCACCCACAGACCATAGATGTCAGCTTTTGTGAAGGTTACCATCATCAACGGACATAAGAGCGGGGGGATGTACATACTTCAGAAGACTCGGCTTCTGCCCCCGGAGACCATTTACGTAGGCGATGGCAATGCACGGCAACAGCTGTCCGAGGAAATAGAGACTCACTGCCGAGGCAGCAGGGTGCGAACCATCGACAGCCTCGTACCAGAAAGCAATCAGCACCGAAAGAGTGCAATCGAGTGGGTAGCGAATGCCAGTGAAGGTGCTACGCAGAGTGGCCTCCGTTCCGGGAAGGATGTAGGGCTTAGAGCCATCCAGCGCCCGTAACAGAAGCGCAGTGGAGCCGTCGAGCGCGGAACGGCCCCAGGTCCCTAGCATGCCCACCAGGCCCACCACATACAGAACCGACTCGGCTTGGACTTTTACGGACATTTTGTTTCGAAGTAGAAAACTTCAATGGCGATGAAAATCATAGGGGAGGAGGGATTACAGGCCTTATATAACCGACTCTTCTTTGTTGATAGCGGATGGAGATACGAGCTGATGTGAGAGTGAGCTGTGCATCATGACGTCACTTCAATCATTCACTCCGCCAGCTGATTTCAGCTGCACACGAGCTGCCTTTCCCCGGTTGAGTGAGGTCTATAAAAGCAGTGCTAATGATTCTGCATGGGCTCCGATCGCTCTGGAATAAAAAATTAATTTCCTTTCTGAAGCTCTAGCCAAGGTCAAATTCTACGATTCTACAAGCGGGTCATCGATGCATCATCCTGAGGCCAGCGGGTAGCAATCAACGCATCATAACATTGAGTAGATGGAAGACATCTTCTGAGCGATGTTTCTTAGATTCTTCCCATGTTGGCATTTCGGATATCATAGATTTACATATACAAAGACCTAATCTCATTATACACATTTGGAGATCCTACCCCTGCTGCTGCTCCTGTTGTTTTTTCCTCTCCTTAGCCTCCGCATCCGCCTGCTTCCATGACCCGGCATAATGATGGCTCACCAACGCAGGACTCTGATCGGTGGGGAACCCATTCTGCGCCGCCGCGAACGCATTCCCCGGCATAATCAACAAATCCCCGACCAGTTTCGGAGATTTGATCCCGTGGAAATCCCGATCGTCCACCACCCTTCCTAGCAACCCTTTCAACCCATCCAGCAGCGCAATGGTCATGATCTTCGGGCCCGTGACATCCACCACGTCGACGGGCAACATCTCCAGCGTCAACTGGTCCACGCCCACCCCGTTCAGGGCGGCGATCTCCTTCAACTTGGCGACGACCGCGTCCACCACCGCCGCCAGATTGCGGGACCCCGGCCGCGCCGCGAACACCCAGTTGCAGAACTGCGACGCCACCTCGGTGCCGGCGCCGCGCCACCCGAAGTCGAACTCCAGCCCCACGATCATGTCGATGTTGGAGGTTTGGTGCTCCGGGGGCACCCAGGCGGCGACCTCCGTGTCGCAGGTGACGTCGAGGTCGCTCCAGATGCCGCCTTCCGCCAGCACGATCAGGTAGCGGAGGAGGTCGGCGCGGAGGATGGGGATGGGGAGCTTTTCGTACACTTCGACGATGTCCGGGCGGGTGGCGCCGTAGCGGGTGCGGACGAAGGTGAGGGCGGAACCGTCCGTGAGGAGCTCGTGGCGGAAGGCGGGGTTCTTCAAGAGCCAGCTGTTGATCCAGCCGGTTTGGTCGGCACTCAGCTCGGGGGTCTTGGAGGAGTGCCAGACTTTGTCGGTTATGCCGGCGATGGCGGTGTTGACGGTGTCGGGGTGAGAGTTGGGAAGGGTGGTGGGGGGAGTGGTTGGAAGACTGGTCGGTTCTGTTTGGCTGTTGGTGCTATGGTCGTTGTTGTTGCCGCTGCTTTGTGGTGGCGTAGGATGCTCAGATAACCCTAACGAGGCATCCGGTTTGCCATGACTGAATGGTTGGGGTAATACATCCCAATTCCGAGACACAAGGAACATCAAGAAAAGGACAGGGACTGTAAGAAGAACAAAACGCATATATCGAGAAGAAGTCATGTTGACCAGCAAGAAGTGAGTAATAGCGGGAAATAAAAGTGAGTGAGCATTTGGAAGAGAAGTGTAATGTGGGGCGACAGACGGAGCAACGTGGGTATGATGTGATATTTGAGAGAGCGAGAGAGACATGGAAACCGGTCAGTCAGGGTCTGGGCTGGATGCCTACGGGCTTACTTTGCACGTGGGTGCTGCTTTAATTAGCCCAGGCGCCAAGCCGTGACAGCTTTAGCCAATATGAGTTTAACCTTACCAGAACTTGTCTCACTGATCAAAGACACTCCCACTCGCTTACATGGTACCCTGGCAAGACAAGACATGGCACTAAATTTGCACTAACTCTGAGCGCCAATAATACAAGCCTCTAGTTCAGGGCCGCTTTAGCTCCAACTTGACTGACCCAATTTGCAGAAATTACTCCCATCCGCGGCGCTGTGATAAGCAAACAACACCATCGCCCTGGTAGGCGCCCGCGCTAAATCACGTGCTTTTATTGCTGTAGTTGTTCCGCTGGAGAACGAAACCCTTGCCCAACACAAGGCTACGAAGAAAACGAACATGTGTCTAGGCAAGGATTCCTATCTTTATCATGAGGTGATGTTGACGTTGCCAAGGTACAAGAGCGAGGCTCCGGAGCGTAGAGGGGGGTCGATTTATGCTTTATGCTGCACCAGCCTCGATTGGAATCAGAATCGTGCTCAGACTGACGAGTTCGCTGCCATAATCGAGCTTTTTTGGTTGCTCCCTGCTTGTCTTTCATCCCCCACAGAATGAAGAGGGTTGTGCACAGCAGGCCACTGTATGCTCAATGGGGATTCACGGCCGTCAATGAATGTCGGCATGATTACTATTCCAGGGGGGCCTATTTTCGTTTGCAGTGGGAAGAGTGGCAAGCATTATGTACCTATACTCATTAACATACGTACAAACGGGAACATGACTGTATACAAATGTACCCAAAGCCTGTACAGCTGTCACAACCACGCAGGCTCTCCCCTGGTAAGCAAACCTCCATCGAGCAAAACGGATCAGCGGTCGTAAAATCCACGTTGGCTGGAGGGAGGTAAGACACATTGCTTACTTACCCATGGCTGAGCAAAACCCGCGACAACAAGCTGTGGATCGGGCTAGATCTGTCTGATCGCTGCGGCAAGTGCCGAATCGCGCAGATAGTAAATTGGGGAACAAGACATGGAGAAAGTAGCGTAACAGATTTCACAGGATGTTGTATGATATCATGCCCCATTGTGTGCAGACGATGATTGATGTAGAAGGTTGGTAACGAGTAAGAGAATACCTAGTTCAGAATAGAAAGCTGTGGTTCTGGCTGGCTGCGGGGAGGGGGCCGTTCCAAGAAAGCTCACTGCCTGAGGCAGCAAACAGTGGATCTCCTAGTCAAATTTCAGTGGCTTGGCAGGACAGGACGGATTGCTTGATTAGATTTCAAATTAGATTTCAAAGCCCGTGTGTTCATGCTCAACCACCAACACCCCCACCACCCAACATAAAATGGCCATCCCAACCCTCCCAGCCGAACTCATCCGCCACGTCATATTCCAATCCACCCCGCCCAACCAATGGGGCAAGTACTGGCCCTCCACGCGGGCCGTGGACGAGGTCAAGGACTTTCTGGCGCTGAGGCTAGTGTGCAGTATGTCATCCCCACTCGGTATAAACCAACGACCTGAGAACTCATGACGGCAGAGGAATTCAACAACATCATCCTGGATTATTTCCTGGATCCGCGGATTCTGACCGAGAGCTTTGACTCGGCGTGTCTGCAGCGGAGTGACCCGCCCACGCCGCCGGCGATCCGCTTCTGCCGCAGACTGTTGAGCCGGCATTTGGAGCGGAGTCGGGCGGGGCGTCGGGTGAATGAGGTGTCGAGGAAGTTTGCGCAGCGTGTCAATGGGGTTGTGGATGCGGCGGTCGATGCATTACGGGAGGGGGAGGGGAAGGGGGATGAGGTTCAGAGGCTGCGCAAGACGTACACGGAGGGCATGGCGGCTGCGGTGGTCGCGTTCGGGGGACTTACTAAGGCGATGTTTCAGGGGATAGCTGGGACGAAGCCGGAGAGGGAGGGTGTGGAGAAAGACCAGGATGGTGATGATGATAATGATGATGATGATGATGGGCTGGAGGAGGACGAGGGAGAAGAGGAGGATGATACGGAGTGGGCGTGGAGCGATCCATTGACCATGGCGCTGACGGCAGCGGGAATCCTGTGTCGAGTCGACGACATGAAGACTCTGATCGCCAAGGGTGCGAGGCCTAAATTTGAAGAAGATGCAGGCTGGATTGGGTTGACCCTCCACGGCGCGGCGATCGGCGGCAACCTCGATGCCCTTGGCCTTCTGTGCGAGCACATTCGGCGCGAGAGTGTAGGCGAGGACGAAACCATGGACGACTGCTTGCACACCGGGAACACGGCGCTGCATTTCGCCGCACAGTACGGTCACTGCCATGCTGTGCAGTGGTGCTTGAAGGAGGGATTCAAGCCGGATGACAGGAACAAGAACGATCAGACGCCGCTCTTCCTTGCTGCGAGTAGCGGGCATGCTGATGTTGTTAAAAAATTGCTAGAACTGGACATTGAGCGGGAGAAGAAGTGGAGGTTGTCAGGGAAAGATCAGGAAAGGGCTGTTGCTGCTGCTGCTGCTGATGATGATGATGATGGCGACGACGATTGGTTCGCGATGCAGCGCGCTATAGTTGACGTCGAAGCGGATGATTACCGCGGACGAACCCCAATGCTGATGGCCGTACAACGAGGGTACCTGGACGTCGTCGAGGAGCTGATGTGGAAAGGGGACTTGCTGATCAACCGACGGAACCCTGAGGAATACAGGATGACCTACCTAGCGACGGCAGCCTCGAGGGGCCACGAAGCGATCGTCCTCCGCCTCCTTTCGTACCCGGATATCAAGACAGACGTCATAGACAGCAGCGGCCATGGGATTCTAAAACATGCCGCTGTCGGCGGGAACGAGAATATCGTACGGAAGGTCCTGTCATGGCCCAAGGTTGATGTCAACCGACGCGGCGAGGACGACTCGACCCCAATCATGTGGGCTGCGATACACGGCCACGAGTCCATCGTCCGGCTGCTGATTGAGAATGGCGCAGCCGTGGATCTGGTGACGCACCAGCTGCATCTCCGGCTCTTGAGGTACTTCGGCATTTTAGGCGACCCGGACACCGGCGCAGTCGACAACCGACTGCTGGGAGCAATGACTGGGCAGGTCGCCGTGCTGGTCGGCGCGTCGGCGCTCGACGCCGCGGCACACAACGGCCACGAAGGCACGTTTCGATTGTTGGCGGCTCAGCCGGGCGTCGAGCTGGATCGGCCGGACTTAGATGGCCGGACACCGTTTGCCAATGCGGCTCTCACAGGGAATGTGGGCATTGTGAAGTTGCTGTTGGAGAAAGGTGATATGCTCAATCCTGAAGCGGCTGATAGATTCGGCCATACGCCCTTGATGCTTGCGGCGCGGGCTGGCGATGACGATGTCGTCCGGGTTCTCCTCCGGGACCCTCGCGTGGATAGCAGCGGGAGGGATAAAGAGGGCCATTCTGCTCTGGTCCTGGCGGCGATACAGGGCTCTGAGGATCATCAAAGTGTGGCGAAGCTACTTTTGAAAACAGTTCGATCGAGACAGGAGGTTGAAGAGGCCCTGGCAGCGACGCAGGACGCATGCATGCGTGCGCTTCTGAGTTCATACCTGCAGACGAAGTCTTGAGAGGGTCAGAGAGTTGGAATTAAGCGTCAGGCTTTCTTGCATTAGGAGTCCCGAGCGAGCTGATAACAGTCGTATAGAGTTCTACGTGACATGTGCTAACCGATTCAATTTCAGTCACGCTGTTCACGTCCACAGATAATCCTTCTGACGGCGGTCCCGAGGTCTTAGTCATGTTGCTGCGGACCGCCCACCTCGGTGGTTCTTGGGTAGTTCGGCAGATAACCTCACGTAGTCATTATTGTACACCTGACGGCCGTGCAATACGTTTGATAATGTGGTCAAAGAGGGAGGTGATTTATCGTCTACCCAGGCCGTGGTCAAAAGCAATCCCTATATGTACATAACACTTGTCGCTATAACACCACGTCCACCACAGATCTATGCATACCCTATCACACCATTTCAGAAACCCTCTCCCATCCAGAAGAGCACAGCCCCTCAATAATACTCAGGCAAATCCCCAAAGCTAGGGATTGCATCACCGCACTTGAACTTCGGACTGTACGCCTTTGCAGGCATGTAGCCGTTCTTCCAGGCGGTGCGGTAACTCCACTGCGCCGCCGACTCGGTCGCCCACGTCCAGTAGAACCAGCCCATGGCGGTCTCGAAGGCGGACATCTGCGCTTCCGCGTACGTCTGCAGGAAGGTCTTGTACCCGTCGGAATATCCCACGGGGGAGGTGTTGGCCAGGGTGCAGGAGCAGGTGCCCTCCGAGGCGGTGGGGCAATACATCGTGTCGCCGGTGGAAGCGAGGGTTCCCTCCCACCGGTTGCCGTTGCCGACGTTGTTGACGTACTGCGCGCAGTCGGTGTCGGCCTGGGACCATTCGCCGCAGATGGTCGGGCCCCATCTATTATCCGTCGCAAGATTAGTTCTCTTTCCATATCTCCAGGAGGGATAAAGGGTGAGAGGAACGTACCCGGTACTCGTAACATTAATCGCCTGGATCATACTATACCAGCTCTCGCAGATCAACTCCACGCGACGGGTATGGTTCAGCACGATCTCCCCCGTATTGAAGACGGTGTACTGATGCGTATCGAGCATCATATTGTCGGGCCGTGTCTTGAGCATGCTGTCCCACTTGGCCAGATTCAAGAACCCGTCGTGAACCGTCACCCACGCCTTGATCCCGTTCTTCTGGACGAGCTCCGTCGCCTGCGTGGTCCAGTTCAGCACATCCGCCACGGGCAGCGACAGCATGAGCGGCTCGTTGGCCAGCCCGTAGATGGTGACGACGTTCTTGTACCGGTCCTGGGCGAAGAACTGCGACAGCTGGTCGTGCATGTCGAGCGAGCGCTGGCGGTTCAGGGCGCCGTCCGTCCCGTTCAACCACCCGATCTTGCCCTGATGGCCGCTGTGGTTCCACCCGTTCTGGCTGCCGGGGATCCCGTGCGGGTCGAGATTCACGCGCAGTCCGTACTTGCGACAGTACTCGATCGCGCGCAGCAGGTACCGCCAGGCGATCTTGGGGACGTAGGGGTCGCCGTCGTAGGTGCGCACCGCCCAGTAGGAGAACTGCATGCGCACGTGGTCGAGCCCCGCGTCGCGGATGTCGATGAAGTCCTGCTCGGTGATGAAGGTGGCGTAGTGTTTTTCGATCGTGGTGTTGGCGTCGCTGCCCAGGCGCTCGCAGAGGGTCCACTCGTCGATGATGCCTTCGCTCGAGGAGTAGGATTGGAAGAGCGAGGGAACGATGAAGGGCTCGATGGAGAGCCAGCCTCCGAGATTGACTCCGCGAATGGGCTGCGAGCCGTAGGGGAATGACTCGTTCAAGGGTGGGACGTTCTCGTTTGCTTGGGCGGAATCATCCCAGGTCGAATTCAGTCCCATGATCGACAATCCTCCCACGGTCGCATTCGTGAACGTGACGTTGAAGCCCGTTGTATCGTACCAGGTGAACGGATCAAGGTATGTTCCTTGAGCGTAGGCCTACCACACACAAGTCAGCACCCGAGCCCAGGTCCTCCTTACAAGAAACCTACCGGAATACTATCGCGACTGATCCCGTCGAGGTTAGAATTCGCGGGCTTATCGTCGTCCGAACTTGACGAACTCCCGCCATTGTCCGCCCTCCGCGCCATGATAATCCCCACGGGGATAGCAATCGCCGCCAGCACGAGCAGCACCACGAAGAAGATGAACGTGCCTCTCCACTTCTTCCAGAACGGAAGATTGGCCACACTTCCCCGGCCCGTGGACCTGGACCCACGACTCCTCTCATCCCAGTCCCCTTCCTTCCTGAGCATACCGTCTGTCGCCTCCGCAGCCTCCCCGTCTGCTCCATTCCCACCAGAGCCACCCCCGCGGTGCCGCACCTCCGCCATCCCCTGCTCCAACTGTGCTCCGGACGCCACCCTGCTCTGCGCCCCGGCCCTAGGCGTATCCAACGCGATGGGCGCCAGCATAATCGGCTGCTCAGCGATAACGGGACGCTTGCGCAGCCTCTGCCCGTGCCCTTGCTCCGATGCTTCGTCGCGCCCGTCGCGCGACCCTTCACCCAGATGACTCAAACAATCCTCATCCCCGACCGTGGAACCCAACAGCTTCGCCAACGCATCCCCACTGAGCAACTCCTGCGCCGCGCTGTCCCGGTTCGAGTTCCCATGTCTCCCAAACGCAGCGGCCAGCCGCTCCCGCCGTCGCTGGCGCCGAGTCTCCCGGTCCGGGCGCTGGCCGCCCGGCGGGGAGGAGTTGCGTTTCCAGAACGCCAGCGACGAGGACGGGGCTCGTTCCCTTGGCTGGGACGGAATGCGCTGAGCACCCACATCCCCACCGATCGCATCATCATGCTCATTGTCACCATGATGGGCCATTGCCGCCGCGCGCTCGGACTCCGTGAAGGTCATCATCCCCGACAGGCCGCGGGAGCCGGCCTCGGCCTCGAATTGGTCCGCAGCGGGGACGTGCGGACGCAGCGGGATCCAGTTAGGGTTGGTCCCTTGGGGGAATTGGTGCGGTTCATATGCGTAGGTTGACCCCGACAGGTGGTGGTCTGCATTGTCGGGGTGGTCGTAATCGTGATGGTCGTGGTCGAGGGAATAGGAATGGTCGTCAAATTCATGGGGACTGTAATCGTAACGTTGTGGGGAGTGGCGCGGTGCCTCCGAGTAGACATCGGAGGGAAGGCTGGGACTCAGGCTGGAGACGTAGCTGTCTTCTCCCCGGTAGCCCAGGCGCGGGGGCGGGGAGAGGGTGTAGTAGCTCGGGGTGGTGGAGTCCGGAGCCTCCGGCGGCTCGCGGCTGGGGCTGCTGGAGCGGCGGGACAGGCGATCCCGACTGCCCGAGTGGAGAGACATCCGCACTGAGCACGGACTTTTTTGGTATTATCGGTCTGTTTCGGGGAATGGACACCTTTGTGGAAAAGCCAAGGGAATGCTGGGGGTGACTGTCGGGTGTGGCGGCGGATCTGGATGGAATGTGGGCTGACCGGTGGGAATGTCCCGACAATTAGGGGGGAGGGGGAGTGGAGTGATAGGTCCGGATCTCCCGGCTGATTGTAGGGGGATTATATTGAATGGAAGTGGAATGGAGATTTGTGGAAGAAGGAGTGCCCTGTCAGCCCCAACGTATAGGATATTGTGGATGGATAGTTGGAGGTACCACGGGTCACAGCTGACAGTTGTGGAGGTCAGGACCGTCTCAGTATCGTCGGTGACACAAACAACAACAAAATTCCAACGAGATACAAGAACTACTAGGTAGTACTCAAGGCATGTTAGTTTCAGGTAAGCTCCAGCCAGGGACAGGATTGGACGGGATCGCCAGGAACCGCACGGTGATTGTGAGGAAAGAAAGTTGGGGGCGTCCGGCCATCAACACAACAACCAGAAAAACAACACATCGACCAAAACAAACCGGCGCAAATCAAGCCCCGTGATTGGTCCAGCAGCCATCCTTGTGTTGATGCTGCTAGATCGGGTTAGCGCGGAGATAGCGGCATTGACCTTTCTACATCAGGTTAGGCTGTGGCTGATTATCTTCCTCAATCACGGGACCCAGACCCTTCGTACTTTAGTCATCATCGTGGCTTGAGTTCTAGTTCCGAATTACATTATGTCCGAAAATTGCGCGTGTATAAATCTGGTCTAGATTACAGTGATGTTACATTAACCTCTGAAACCTATGTCTTTACCCTGTTTCAGCCGAGTCCAGCCCCAGTGGGTTTAGCGCTCAGGCCTTGGTGTAGCGCAGGTACGGCTTCAGCTCCCGCACGTTGCCGAACTTCTTCTTGGCGTCCTCCGTCGACACCGAGGGGGGCACAATCACATCGTCGCCCACGTTCCAGTCAATCGGGGTCGCGATACCCTTCTTGTCCGCCGTCTGCAGCGAGTCGATCACGCGCAGCACCTCCGCCGAGTTGCGGCCCGTCGACGCCGGGTACGACATGATCAGCCGGATGGTCTTGGCCGGGTCGATGATGAAGACCGACCGAATTGTGAATGGGATCCCCTTCTCGGCGATGTTGTCCAGGTCGCGCTGGTCGATCATGTCGTACAGGAAGGCCACCTTGCGGTCGGCGTCAGCGATCACGGGGAACTGCACCTGGGTGTTGGCCACCTCGTTGATGTCGTCGATCCACTGGTCGTGGGAGCTGAGGTCGTTGGCGCTCTAGAGAGTGAGGTGGATGGTTAGCGTGGTGATTTTAATGGTCATGGTGAGCAAAGACGGGGGTGGTAGCGCACCAGGCCAATCATCTTGACATCTCTCTTCTCAAACTCGTCCTTCATCTTGGCGAAGGCGCCCAGCTCGGTGGTACACACGGGAGTGAAGTCGGCCGGGTGCGAGAACAGGATGGCCCAGCTATTGCCGATGAACTCGTGGAAGTCGAGCTCGCCATGGGTGGTCTGCGCCTTGAAATTGGGGGCTGCGATGGGTCAGAGTAGGTCAATTGAAAAAGCTCATGGCGAGAGGGTTACTTACCCTTCGATCCGAGGCGAAGACGGGGTTGCTCCTGGGGAATGGTGGTGAGGAAGCGGCGGGGGAGGGGCTGCACGCGGGGCTGCATGCGAGGGAGCTGGCTACACAGCGACAGACGAGGGAGAGGGGTGGCCCGGGGAAGAGCCGTGAGAGCACGGAAGCTAGTGCGGGAGATGATGGACGCCATTGTGATATGGATTGAAGCAATTGGCAATCGTGAGAAGAAGGTGAAGAAGTTTGACTGAGCTCCAGCGATCCTGTTTTCGTCACTCGCCCATTGCATCAGCGCCGGCGGGGATATGCACTAGCCCGTTTCGGAGAGTCCTGCCTGAGGCATAACGGGACTTGCTGCCTCGGGCACCAACTTGCGTACGTTGTCCCCGTCGCAGCCTTTTCTTGCGTTAATCCCGTGGTGAATAGGGTGCTCCCTCTCGTCGTACGGATGTCGCCTAAATTATCATAACGGCAGTCACCCAACTTTATCATCCATCCGATACGCAGTGCCAGTCTTGGCATGAACTTGGTCGTACAGTGCGGAAGCCCAGACTCCTACATTTTTCCCTGGCTCAATAATGCTATCATGGATCATATATGAAATACCTTTCTTCGCGGATACTGCCACTTATAACCAGGGCTACTCCACACGTCATTGGTCAATCTTTTGACCTGTCGCCATGTGTTCATGCAGGTGGACGGAGCGGGGTACCTGATGTGCCAAGAATACCATTGTAATCGATAAGCGCCCTTCTCTTTGCCGCGGCTGAGCGACAGGTTCGAGTATATCTAGTCTGGAAGCTATTTGGCCAATAGATGACTTAATTCGAGGCGATTGCACAATCTGGGTCCCATGAATGGTAAGCACTAAGTTGACCTGCATCCACCAGGGCGTCTATCTGAAATGGCCATCACAATCGCTTTGGCACCATATATAATCACAGCGCTATCACTATGGGATCGGACATCAACCTCCATGATGCCTTCTTCCTCCGATCCTTGCCACATTCTGTCATCTTGCTTGCTTTGTCCTGCACTGTCAGTCGAGCACCGAAACAAACACATTAGAAAGGTTCAGAGAGGTGAAAACAGAACATGGAGAGCGCTACAGGCGATGACGGAACCACGGTCGCGACAAGAACATCGATACCCGTCTCCATTCCCGGATACTCGGGGGCATACAATAGGGGGCCTTACACAGACACATTCTCCCCTCCGATAACATGCCGTCAATCAGCGACCATGTATACGGCCGACGACGGCGCAGGAGCAGCAGCGGGAACAATTTATTACGGACACTGGTGGTCAGGGGACGTGGCCTGCTATCCCACAGGCACCATTCCAGCCACCTCGTACACACATTTTCAGTTTTGGTACTCATATTACTGTCAGTATGCTCATTATACTTAGAGTTGTGTTGCCTAACCACTGACCGCCATGTTAAATAGACAGCCCTGGCTACTACTGTCCGAGTAGTTGGCACACAGCAGCGACTTTAGCCGATGGCTGGGCAGGCGAGACACTCACCGGGAGTCGTAATGGCGTCCTGTGTTGCCCCAGGTAGGCAGAAGCCTGTTCATTCTGGTTCATCAAACCGTGCGACCTAGTCATTCTAATCTTTCCCGTCTCCCCCGTCTCAGCGGTCTCACCCTCTACAATAATTGGACGCATGCGTGCGCGACATCCGTCTCTCCAGGAGACGTCATCACCCTGGTGACCAACTTTGTCGCACTTGAAACCACAATATCCTCCTCATCGGTTCTGTTGCAAGATGGAATCCCGCTCATCCGTGACGAAACCATCACAGCCACCAACAACCCGTCGACCACTATCACCCCGGCCCCAACGCTATCTCCCACGACCCCTCAAGCGACGGGCGGCACGGCCACGCAAGTCCCAACGCAGGCTACAGCACAAGCAACAAAGAATATTTCGACTGGTTTCTCGACAATTGCCAAAGTGGGGATTGGAGTGGGTGTAACCCTCGGGGTGGTCCTTCTCGCCGTTGCGGGATTATTCTGTTTCATCTGCTCTCGACGGCGCAGAAGACAACCTTTGCGGCACGGTCCATCCTCAGATCAGCCAGCCTTTGTCCAGGAGCTTCCCTCGAAATCATATCAGAGGCCTGTCGAGCTTTCTGCGCGTCCGTATGTGAGCGAGCTCGAAACCCGAGCTCATGTGAGTGAGTTGCCAGGGTAGTCTCTGAGCCTGATTCATCTGAGCCAGAATCCTGTGCAGGGTAACGCATCTTTCCAAAAAGACCTCAGTAGCAAGATGCACATGATACCATTTATGTTGCCTTACATAATATGTGACTATTTTGATTGACCTCACGCAAGATAACACCAGACCATAATTCCAAAGTTGTAAATGGTAACGAGGTCCTTGAATGGCGCCATGCTCGCACAACTACAATCCAGGTGAGTGTGCCTTCCTAATTTTGCACGATATCGGTGAACCAGGTCTGGCTACGATAGGCTCGGAATCGATGTGCTCGGGCCATGATATAGTTAGCGTTGACAGCAATACCCCGGGCGCTTAACCCAGCCTTAGGCATCTGCGGGAGACAGCGTCCGAGCGCACTTCGGTTCCTTCTTCCCCCAGCACTCTAGAAATTAGCGGTAAACACTTTCTTGGTCTATCTTTGGAAGTTTGTGTACTATTCATGGTTTGCCATGTGATTATGTAACCAAAGCTGAGGATATGGCTCAGTGCTAAGATCGCCGTGATACCTCTTGACCTCTCTCGCATCGACACACTGGCAATAAATATGTTCTAGACAGCCACGAAGCTCTAGGCAGGGAGACATATAATTTAACCACTACTAAGAAGATCTCCCCACTTTCCGGCAGCGAACACACACTCTGCATAGGTTGTGCCTATCTCACTAAGCTCCGGTATATATACTTGGGGCACAAGCCATCGCCAAGCTAGCCTCACCAATTACTTGGATATCTGTTTTGTTGACGCCTTAGGCATCGAGACTGGCAGCCGCTTCTCGTCACTGGGGGATGCTTATCAGCATAGGGACTCCCCGCCACTATTCCATGAAACTCTTCTCTGGTCTCATTGTACTAGCGAGAAGAGAACGATTTTTCCATCATGCCCCGGTGTTGTCCATCTGTGAGTCGGGAGCTTGGCCTTCTCAACCTCAGTGACCCATCAGCCTAGCCCTAACTCGGTAAAGTTATCTGATCTTCCGTACGATTCTTGCCGGACGTTCGCCGCGACAAGATAATATTGGTCACATTCCGAGCTCACTGTAGCAAATAGATCTGAATTACGCAAATTATAAGTTCTTAATTCCAACATGCCAGGAAGGAGAACAACTATCTGCCAAGAGCAACCAAGTACCAACAGACAACCAAATTATCACCGGGAAGACAACGCTGTGTTTGTTCGACAGCTGACACGTACTTTCCACAAGGGTGATGGCATAAAACACCGAGAGCAAGAAAGTGAGGCGAGCGGGGCCGGCATAATTGCGGGGTCGTTGGGCTCATAAATAGACAACGCAGTATGCCTCTTCCGTGCCCGGGAACAGCTCCTTTGCAGTACATGATTTTCACATCCGTTAACATAAAGATGCTAATACGTATTCCACAGTATGCAATTAGCCACACACCGTCGGCCCCCAACTCAATTATATCCCGCACCGACACCTACGGCCGCAACACAGGCACCCCTTTCTCCGTCTATCCAGACCACGACGCCACGACTGTGAAAACTCTGAAAATCTGGGAGGGCCGCGCGAGCGGCGACTCAGCGGGATGATGGGTAATCACGGGCTTGCGTATCATCTGGTTCAACGACGAGCGCGGACGGCTCTACAACCACCCGCAGGACGGAGACCGGCTCAAGATCCTGACATTCGCGACCGAGGAAACGATGACGGAATGTAGTATCCGGGCAGTGTAGCGCGTGGATGGAATCGATATCGTCACCAGCCGGGGCCAGCACTTGGTGGCGGGCGGCGAGGGAGGCACGCCTTACAGCAACGTGGCGAGAGGGTCGCTGGTGGGCTTTACGGGGAGTGCGGGATGGGGTTGATAATATTTCTGTCTTGTATGGATAAGGATGGGGTTCTAGGGCTGTTCGGTGTGACCCTATTGTACCAGGGATCAAGCTGCTTACGCAGGCAGGACTACTAGGGATATAGGCGCTTTGGAGTGGATTTACTGTACCTAGTACCTTATCCTCGACCCCGATAATTGTCTCGCATGATTCATAAGTGACCCAATCTCGACTCAACACCCAAAAGTATACCAGGAAATGCTTACAGCACATTCTTCTCCACGAAATCACAACGAAGCAGCAATCAACCTCTTATAGCCCTCGACCGCATCCTCCAGCTCCCGCACGGTGATCGCCTCCTTTTCCCCATGCGTGACCTCGAACCGGCCCGGCCCATACAAATACCGCTTCACCTTCCGTGTGGCCCCGTGGTCATGAATCTCCAACGAGAACGCATCCGTCCCATAATTCACCGCAATGACCTCGAACCCCTCGACACCCGTCTCGAAAAACTGCGGTGGTGCCCCAACCGTCCCATTTCCACTCCCACCGCCAAAGTCCAGCAAGACGCTACCATCCCCACCCGTCAACTCATCCACAGCAGCCTGAATAATCCGCCTGGTCTCCTCCGGGCTCCCCGCCGCCAACCGCACCGAGACCGTCGCCTCAGCATGCGCCGGTACAACATTGGCCGCCTCGCCTCCGCCGATAGTCCCGATATTCAAGGTAGAGTTACCCAGCACTTCACCCCACAGCAACCCCCCTTCCTCCGGGGCAATATACTGCAGGGAGTTGATGTGCTCGAGAACAGGCAAGATAGAGAGGATGGCACTCTGCCCGAGCCAGGGATAGCTCGAGTGCGCGGGCTTCCCGCGCGCGACGACCTTGAACCCCAGCGTGCCCTTGTGGCCCTTCACGAGATCTCCATTCGTGGGCTCGCCGAAGATGACGGTGTGGAAGCTCGACGGTGTGGGGTTGAGCTCCGAGGCGGAGAAGTGCTTCATCCCCACGCCGGACTTCTCCTCGCCGACATCCAGTAAAATGCCTACGGATGCCGTCGGGTCTGTGGCTAGAGTGTCGAGGACGGCGAGGACTAGGGCTGCGACGCTGGCCTTTGCATCTACGGTGCCGCGGCCGGCGATGAGGAGGTCCTTTCGGTCGAACTTCCCGGTATGCGGGCTCGGGCCGGGGGGGTGAAGGGAGTAAGGGATGAAGGGGGGCACGGTGTCGATGTGGCTAGTTAACAGGATCTCCGGAAAGCGGTTGTCCCCTGCGTAGGCGTAGATGTTGAAGCGCTCCTTGGTGGCATCCGTCTTTGGGGTTACGACCTGCTTCTCGACAGTGAGGTTGTGGGAGGAAAGGAAGTCGATGATGAAGTCGCCGACTTCTTGCTCGTTTTCGGAGATGGATTCGATAGTCACGATATGGCGGTGAAAGGCGAGGAGAGGCGAGGAGGTGATTATTTGGTCGAGTGCTGACTCGGTGCTGGGATTGACTATTGCATTGTGCGAGAGGGGGTCGGCGAGTGGTTGCTGTATTGAAGCGAGAGCCAGCCTCGCTAGGGCCGTGATGTTGATAATCTCGATTGTCTTCATTGGGGCGTTGATCTTCAATAATGTCACCCAGGGAGGATATTCAATCTTGGGGTGGTAGGGTGTATATCAATTCTCAGGCTTCGGTGAGTCCGTGAGGGGAAACGGACGAATGTGGATTAGGGCATTCCTCCCCGCAATGGCGTGCCTTATCAACATCCGACATCATGCTTAGTTGGTTCAAGATAGAACCACACCTGTTACATTCCTTATCTACACAGAACCTCAACCATTTCCACATGATAGGCCGATCCGTTAATCTCGCTAGAGAGATGCCAAGCCATTCCCCTCAACGGAAGTCAATATCCTCCAGCACCGCCTGATTCTCCTTCGCCGCCGCCCGCCGAACCCTCTTCAATCTTCTGGTATCGACATCCACCTTCCACGTACGCCCCCAGGTAATCAGATTCATAATGATCGCCATCCCCACGAATCCCATGGCAATACCAAACGAGGTGGTATAGCGCGGCGCATACCGAGAATTGAACAACTGCGATCCCACTGCGCCTCCGATCTGCCCGTAGCTGTTGGCGAAGGCAATCGCAAACGCCGAGCCTGTGGCCCCCTGCGTCGTCTGGACTCGCCATGGCCACATCATCACGTACCTTCAGCTACCATCAGCGACTGGCAAAGAATTTCCGAAGGAGCGTGCTTACCAAGCGGTGGAAAATCCGCCCGCGATGATCGTAGCGGCATAGACACCCCCGCTGTTCGGAAATGCATAGAGCACGCCATAGCACGCCTCGATGACTATCATGAAGGCGAGCGGGATGGCCGGTTGTGGGATTCTTCCGGTGTCGGCGAAGACCCCGAACGCTAGGGTCAGGATCACTGCGAACACGGCGGAGGGGATGTTGAGGAGGAGGGATTCGCCCATCGAGCTTGAAAATTGGTCAGCACTTCGGTTCGAAATCTAACTCTGGGGTTTACTCACGTAAAGCCGAGATTAGCGATCACAGTGGGCTGATAGAATGTGAGACCGGTGGTTCCGACAGTGAAGAATGCCCAACAGAGCAGGAATAGCCAGATTCTCTCGTTTCGAAGCGTGTTAATCAGCTCTCGCAGGTTGAAGTTGGATTCTTGCGCTCGAGGAGAGTTGCGGGGGAGACGAGCTTGGATGAAGGCTTGTTCCGTTTCGGAGAGCCAGGATGATGTAGAGGGAACTGATGGAGTCAGTCAGCGGTGTCTTCGTTGATATGAATGACAATGCATACAATCTGGCAGGAAGACATATGTGAGAACACCCAGAACGATTGTGATGATTCCCTCTGTCAGAATCAACCTAGTCGCAAGGTTAGCTTCGAGGACATCGATTCAGGCATGGATCTGCCGGACGCACCATTTCCACCCCGACAACCCCCCGGTCGTCACACCGTTGAACGCAAAGGCAAGCACGCCACTGATGACCGTGCTGAAATTTCCAAGCAGCGTAACCAGCACAATCCGAGGTGCTATCTCATCCGGTCGATACCAGTAGCACAACTGGACCAGCATCCCCGGCCAAAGACCGGCTTCGAATAGACCCAAGAAGAAGCGGACAGCATACAGGCCCTGCCGATTCCTGACTGCTGCGTGGCAACAGAGAACGATCCCCCATGAGACCTGGTTATTTTAGACGTAAGACATATCTGGTGGGCCAATGGCGTTTACCTGAATCCGAGCTTGCCAGACGGAGGGCCTGACCCCCTTGATCAGTAGATTAGACGGGGCTTCGGCGATAATGTAGGGAATCTTGACACACATCAGTCTGCATCGCAGCTATTTATGACAAAGGTGATTCTCACATAATACATTGCTGTCACCAGATTATACTGATCCTTCGTCATTCCTAGCTCAGTTAAGATGTTGTGAGGGGTTCCTTTGTCCATGGTGAGTGCGTAAGAGACCTAAAACAGCTCTCGTCAGAGAACTACCCTCCTAATCGCCCTTAGCATGGAAGGTCTCACATTTGTGAAGTCGACACTTTTCAGCATATAGATAACAGCCAGAAGCGGGATCAAATGCCAATCCACGCGTCGCAGGAGCTTCTTCTCCTCGTCCGCACTCAGTGCGGCACGTTCGCGCATCAAATCGGCATCGTAGCCTGGGATAGCCTCCCCATTGTCAGGAATAGTGGTGTCTGCATTGCGGTTGACCTGGTGCACATAGTCTCTCCCAGGGATGGGTTTTTCGTTGATGAAGACTTCTTTAGGGTCTTCACTGCCAGTGGTTCGTGCCGGTTGGATGTGCCCATCATCAGAAGCATCGGACAACATGGTCGCTGTGTGATGTTTCGAGTTCCTGGGGGTTTGAAATGACTGCTGCTATTATTTGGGCACACGTAGCTCTGTCGATGTATTCACTTATATTTTGTGGCATTCCGATGCGGGGATTGAGGAATGTTACTATCCGCGGCTTTGATGGCGCAAGAGCGACCCCGCCGACTTCGGGCATGATAGCGTACAGAGCATAACACTCCTCGGCTACTTGATTGAATTGCCGAGATAACTTTGCATTAGTTTGAAGACTTTTACTGCGAGCTGCATGCACAAGTATAACGGTAGCGAATGGTGTGATTGCAATTTGTGATAACTTTAGAAGTCTCCGGGTGTTCTGGGCCCGTGTTGAAAAGTGCGATAATGACGGGACGCTGAGATAATGCAGCAGGGGAGAATGATTACCATATCTGAGAAAGGCTTTGGGGTGAGAGAAAATAACAGGTACTGCTCTAGCTAATGTCCTGTGAGCATATGATGTATTCGCTATGGTGCCCAGAACATTTCTGGGTAACAGCTGAAATAGCAGACTCTCGTCGATATCTTTACTGTGACAATTACCTAATGCTGATCCAACCAACGGGTGTGTTCACATGCGAAGTGTATCCTGCGGGGATCTCTGTCCACAAGAATTAAGTGAAGGCTGTCAACGGTTTTGGAAGACACACTCCGAAGGCCAGCTATGTGCTTGCTTTCATAAGATAACTCTGTGCCAATTGGAAATGGCAAGGGTCGTGAGGTATACTGAATGCTAAGGCCCGAACACTTATTACTTCATAGTGCGACGAAAGGAAATTGTATCAAGCATGATGGCTTCGTCGTAAAAAACACGTGAGAAGGAACTCCTGTTGGAAGGATTGCGGCCCACGGCCGGGGGGGATAATCGATATTGTGGAGGAAGAATATGCAGTGTCGCAGCGCACGTCCTGCAAGCATGATCACTTATATAGCAGCGGAATTCGAGATAGCTTCTGGCCATGACAGGATCCTAGGCTAATAAGGATGAGAAGAGCATGAACGATCGACCGACATCGCAGGTGCGGATGGGTTGTTGGTGCCTGAGGCATCATTACCGTCCTGTCCGAAAAGTGACACAGGCATGACTTGGGGGAGAGTCTGGCGCCTATACTGATGCCAGAGACAGGCGCCCGTGTATTTCCCTCGCACATTTGCATTTATTCTGTCCAAAGAACTATTGGGTAATTCACTTCAAGCGTACGACAAGAACCGCACTTATTCAAAATATAATCTAAATAAACTATCATGATATATATTTTCTGGTTTTTATTTTAATTATTAGTCTCCGCGGTTAATTTTTATTTAATAATAAATGTATAATAAATAATATAATGACAGAT